CTTATATGTGCATAAAGGCTTTGAAAGTAACTTAACATGGTTTTGAACAAAATGTCCTTTTAAGCATGATTTCAATGGTTTTACTTGCATAGGTTTCCATACTTAGTAAATGTGGTTGTACTAACCCATATTCTTTTCCTTTTCCCAAACGATGTAGGTTCGGGCCATTGAAGCATAGGAGGCCACTTTGCAAGAAGACTTGGACATATTCCAAAGTTATTGGTAGGTCCTTAATGTTAGGGGATGTTACCATTTCACATTCTAGCTATGTTGTTGTTATGTCTAAAGACACTATTTCATTCCTTTACCTTTGAGATTATTGTTGTAAGTTTATATATGACTCTTTCTATTGAAGTATGGACCATGCTCAATTGTTATAATACTCTTTAAATGGTTTAATGTAAGCAATGTTATTTGACTATTTCCTATGTATTGGTTATGTTGCCTAAACGAGAAGCCTATATAAGCTTCATAAGCGAGGAGTCTATGTAAACTCCATATACGATATGTGAGAGGTCTATGTATACTGACTATGTAAAAGTTCTTATTTTTTGCATTTATGACCTATAATATGTTATGACGAATGCTAAGGGCTAGTCAAAGTCCTCTCCGAGGACGAAGACGACGGTTACGTCTAGGGGATTCTCCCCGGCCGTGAAAAGCCCTTCGTGAGTCAATTTTTTCGTACAATTAAAAATAATTGAGTTTTTATTAATCATAACCGTTATTTTCGATACTTTAAAGTCATTGTTCAAGTCAAATAGTTTTTGAGGTGTTTTCTTATTTTAATATATTTTTCTTGTTTTAACATTTTCTTGGATATTTTAAGAAAAAAATGTTTTTTTCGTGAAACCATGATTTTATGATATCTTAAAGTTATTGACGTAATTTTTTTTTCTTTTTTTGGTATTCTTAAAATAATTTTCTTGATTTCAATATTTTTTGGACATTTATGAAAAAATAAATATCTAATTTTTTTTTATCTTTTACGACAACATACATTTAATTTTTTAAAAGTGATTGGTGCAAGACAAAAAAATTAAGATGTTTTTATTATTTTTTTATATTTTTGTTGATTTTAATATTTTCTAGAAACTTACGAATAAAATTAAATTATGATTTTTCTTGAAAATAATAAATTCTGATATTTTAAAGTTAATGGTTTAAGTAAAACAAATTTGAGGTACTTTTGTATGTTTTATATAATTTTGTTGATATAATATTTTGGATATTCAAGAAAAAAATAAAATTTAGATTTTTTTCTTGAAAATTATTATTTTCGACATATCAAATTCATTGGTACAACTCACAAAAAAATTGATATGTTTTATAATTTCTTTATATTTTTCTTGATTTTTATATTTTTCAGACATTCAAGAATTTTTATTTTATTTTTAGTTTTAAAGTCGGTGCAAATCGAATATTTTTTTGAGGTGTGTTATTTTTTTTTATCAATTACACGTTTACGGAAAAAATAAAATTTTGAATTTTGTTAAAACCATTATTTTTAAAAATTTTAGTGACATACATTGTGTTGCCCCATAGAAGGAGTTGTAGGGGGTGGAAGGCTAACCTCCTTTGCGCCCTGAGCGTGCATGCGCCCTAAATGTGAGTCTACGTCGATAAACGTCGTGACAAGTGGTGGTTGAATCTCAACTCTCGTTGTTGTCGCGACTATAGCCCGTCGTGAGTACATTTTTTAGGACATTCATAAAAAAATAAATTTTGATTTTTTAACTCGTTATATTCTTTTTTTTAAAAGTCATCAACATAAGTGAATATTTTGTTACGGTGTTTTTGATTTTGTAAAATATTTTTCTTGATTTTAATACTTTTCGGACATATACAACAAAAAATAATTTTTTTCTGACATCTAAGAAAAAAAAATGTTGATTTTCTTTTCAAGAACGTACATTTCAAAAAATTTAAGTTATTATTGCAAGTCAAGATTTTTTTTATTTTTTTATTGCTTTTTAATTTCGGTCATTTACGAAAAAAATAAAATTATAATTTTTTAATTGAAATCATTATTTTTTTTTGATGTTTAAAATCATTGGTGCAAGTAAAATATTTTTTATATATTTTTCTTAATTTTGATAATTTTTTGGATATTTATAAAAAAAATTGATTTTTAAAAACTTTTTAAATATTATTTTCTTGATTTTTTTTGGATATTTATAAATAAGTCAATTTTAATTTTTTTTAAATAATTGTTTTCGATAATTTAAATCATTGACGCTATCCAACATGTTTTTAGGTGTTTTTGACATTTTTGTTATGTTTCTCTTAATTTTTATATTTTTGGTCCATTTACAAAAAAAAATTGTGATTTTTTTCTGAAAATTTATGAAAAAAAAAGAAAATTTTGATCTATTTTTTTTTTTAAAAATATATCATCAATAATTTAAAATTATTGGTTCAAGTCTAAAAATTTTTAAAGTTGTTTTTATACTTTTCAATAATTTGTTGATAAAATATTTTTCAATATTATGAAGAAACTAATTTTTGATTTTTTAAAAATTATTATTGTTGATATTTTAAAGTCATTGGTGGAAGTCAAAATTCTCTTTGAGGTATATTTTCTTATTTTTATATATTTTTCTTGCTTTTTATATTTTTAAAATATTTATGAAAGAAGATTTTATTATGTTTTTTCTTGAAAACCATTATTTTCAATATCTTAAAGTCATTGGTGTAATTTTTTTTCCTGAAGTTTTCTTATATTTTATTAATACTTTTTAAATATTTTTTCAAGTATTTGAAATTCATTATTTTTTATATTTTAAAGTTACTGGTGCAAGCCAAATATTTTTGTGAGGTATATTTTGTATTTTAGTTAAAAAAATTTAAACTCATTGGTGAGACATGAGACGATTTAGAGTTGTTTTATATCTTTTCTTAAATATATTTATGGAAAAAAAATTATGATTTTTCTTTAAGATAATTATTTTTCGATATTTTAAAGTCATAGGCGCAAGTAAAATTTTATTTTGATCTGTTTTTATATTTTTACACGTTTTTCTTGAATTTAGTAATTTTTTGGACATTTACGAAAAAAAATAAAATGTTATTTTTTCTTGTAAACCACTATTTTTGAAATTTTAAAGTTATTGGTGCAAGTCAAATTTTTAAAGTGTTTTTCTATTTTCTTTACATTTTTCTTGATTTTCAAGATATTTTAAAAATTCTTGTTGTAAACCATTATTTCTCATATTTTAAAGTTTTTGGTGCAAGTTGAATATTTTTTTTGAGGTGTGTTTGATATTCTTATTGATTTTCTTTCCGAATTTATAGAAAAATGAAATTTTGCATTTTGTTAAAATCATTATTTTTGACGCAAGCCAAACTTTTTTTAGGTGTTTTGATATTTGTTTTATATTTTTCGGTCATTTACGAAAAAATAAAATTTTTGCTTTTTTGAAATTATCATATTATTGGTGCAATTCAAAAATTTTTAAAGTTTTTTTTATATTTTCCGGTCACTTACTAAAAAATAAAATTTTGATTTTTTTTAAAATCATTTTTTTTGTTTTTTTATAGTCATTGGTGCAAGTCAAACTTTTTTTTTTGAGGTGTTTTCATATTTTTAATATATTTTTCTTTTTTTTTTGTATATATTTTTTGGGACATTAAGAATTTTTTTTTTTTTTGATTCTTTGTAAATCATTATTTTCGATATTCAAATTTTGATTATTTTTCCCGGAAAGATATATTTTCGATAATTTGAAGTCATTGGTGTGAGTAAAAAAATTTTAAGCTATATTCTAAATATGTAAATTTATTAATTTCGAGTAAAAATTTTAAATGGACAAAAATTCTGAAAATGACAAATAAACTACTAGTGGACAGTTACTTTTTTCAGAAATTAATTATACGCAACTTTACAAATATTGTGAAGTTATTGATTGGTTCAAGCAAAAAAAAATTGAGGTTTTTTGTATTTCATAGATTTTTCTTAATTTTCATATTTTTCGATATTTACCAAAAAAGTAAAATTTAATATTTTTCGAATGTTTACGAAAAAATAAATTTTTGCTTTTTTTTTTGAAAAACAATATTTTTGATATTTTAAAGTATTTAATTCGAGTCAAATTTTTAAAGCTATATTCTACATATGTAAACTTTTTTATTACTTTATATTGATTATTTAACCCCTATTTGGATCGATTATCAAGCCCTATTTAGAAAATAATTATACACAACTTTACAAATATATGTAATTATATATTATTGACTTGAAAAATAAAAGTTGTTAATTGTTTTGCAATAATCTCGTTTCGACAAGAATGATATAATTAAGCCCATTAGCCTATATCAAAATTATACTTGAATTTTTTATTTTCCGGACATTTTATGGAAAAAACTATTTTGTTTAAACTATTGTTTTTGACATTTTTTAGCGTCACACATCTCGTCGCTCCTCGCAAGGTGTCACTATGGGTGGACCATTGACCTCCCGTGCACCCTAAGTAAGCGACTGGCCTAGACAAGAGTCTACGTCGAGAAACATCGCGACAATTGGTGGTTGAAACTTGAATCTCTTTGTTGTCGCATCTAGAGCTTTTCGTGAATCCATTTTTTCGTACATTTATGAGTAAAAGGTTGACTTTTTTAAAAATCATTCTTTTTGATATTTTAATGTCATTGGTGTGACTAAATTTTTTTTTGAAGTGTTTTCTTATTTTAATATATTTTCTTATTGTTATATTTTTTGGGATATTTTACGAAAAAATAAATTTTGATTTTTTTTTGAAAATCATTATTTTTTATATTTTAAAGTCATTGGTGCAAAATCAATTTTTTTCTTGTGAAAGTACTTTTATATTATATTTTTATTTTTCTTGATTTTAATATTTATCCGGATTTATGGAAAAAGTTAAATTTGATTTTTTTGGATATTTATGAAAAAATAAGATTTTGATTTTTTCAAAAAACTATATTTTTGATATTTTAAAGTAATTAATGGGAGTTGAAATATATTCTAAATTTATTTATTATTTTATATTGATTATTTAAGTCCTATTTGGATCTATTATTTGGAAAGGAGAACGTTAAAATTTTGAAAAGAAATATAAAGTGAAGAAACGAAAGAGGGCAGAAGCGATTTCTTCTTTCTTCTTTGCTTGTGTGTGCATCAGCTATGAAGCGCCATAGATTTACTGCCATTAGAGTGGGAATCATAAGGTATTCATCTCAATCTCATCTTTATTTTCTTCTTTCAACATACAGGTTCGATTAAACTTCTTGTTTGTACCACTTTTATGTGCGATTGAAGTGTTCAGATGTTGTTTCTATGGTAGATTCGTGGTGGAAAAAGCCATCTTGTTTGCTGTTTTCTTGGTTTTCTTTCTTCGGAATCTTGTAGAAAGAAATTTGTATAAAGAAATCCAGTTGAAACAATATTTGAGGGTTGATTAGGGTTTTCTTTTATAATGTTTTAGCTTTCGAGGTTTTAATTGTTTTTGTTTGTACCATTTTTATGTGATTGGAGTATTTCCGATCCCTTATATGGGATCAGTTTGCATGTTGTTCTATGGTAGTTTAGAATCTTGTATTTGTATTAAGACTTAGTCAAGTTGAAAAAGTAAAAATCCGAACGCCTCACTTGTATCTGCTTCTTGTTCATCTTTAAATTCGCTTGCATACATTCCATTGTTTTAGAGTGGCTGTTTCTTGTTATTCTTTATACCCATTCCATTTATGTAGAGTGGTTGTTTCTTGTTAATCTTTACATACATTCCATTGTTTTAGAGTTGTTGTTTCTTCTTAATCTTTAACCCCATTTACATACATTTCCTTGTTTTAATGTTGATGTGTATGATAATTAGTTAGAACATCATTTTTCTTCCCATTTTGTCTATCTCTTTGTGCACAAATAACAAATTGATTTCCTCAATCTTCTAATTGCGACATATGGTCGTGCATCTGTTCCCTAGACCAGTTTAAGATTGATTTCTACATCTTGTTTTGAGAACATCTAAGTATTTTTGTTCTTATTAGGCTGGCTGACGTGAAGTTAATTTATGATGCTTGTAGCTTTAATTTTAAAAAATAGAATCAGTTGTTCACTCTTAATATTTCAGTCAATGAAGCAACAATTGTCAGCAAAATATTCCCCTTTTTATAATTGATTGATTTAATGCTTTGCTGTATGAATTGATATTTTCTTCCATAGGTTGATATATATTTTATCATCTTTAGCTTCTGATTCTGATACTTCTCTATTTCTTATTTTTATCTGATGTTGCGGTAAATGAAAGACATTAGACGAGGTAGAAGTAGAAGAAGCGAGACAGGCTGTGGAAATGACAATTTTTGAGGAGGTGGTAGTTCTGGAATGATGACTCAGCCGCAGATACGATCAATAGGGATTACTGAGGCATCTCTGCAGGTAAAAGTGTGCTGTAAAATTCCCGAGATAATATTTGGTACAAGTTTAATGTCTATTTTATGATTTTAGTGTGCAAAAGTGTGCATATTATGGGAGATTTGTGTTTTCTTTTGATGTCTGTAATCTGGTGAAATGTTGATTTGGATTCTAGCAGAATTTTTATATATTCTACTACAAGTGGCTTTCACGAAGAAGATTGTTAGTAATTTAAGAGCTTGCGTCATGAATTTTGACCATGATTAATTCAACTTAATATGATAATACAAAAATGTATACACTCTCAATGCGAACTCATAATCTTAGTTACTTATATCCTTTTAAACTGAGTACATGTATCCTGGCTATTTTAGATGTATATTTCATGTTGAGATCTGTATCGCAAAAGTTATAAAGTGACTGTAAATGATCTGATGCTGCATGGTATGTTTTGATGTTCAAGAGAATTAAATTGAGAGTCAAAAAAATAGGAAAAGTTGAGGAATGGGTCTTAATATTAGATTATATTATGTGTTATAATCATGTTTGAGCATAAAAAAGGTGCAAGAGGTGTTGTTATAATGTTTAGTATCCTCTTTCTCTTTGTAAATATGTTATATTATGGTACAATTAGATGTGACTTGAGTTTGTTTAAGATTGAGGTAACGCAAAAAGCAACTAAGTCTAACTTCAAATACCTGAATTTAGTACTTGATGGCTAATGATCTTGGTTGGTACTAAGAGAATAGTCATGCATGTGAATAGTGTTGAGCATACCTCTCCGTTTTTAAAGATTGAGCATGTTGTGAATTATTTTTGTGACAACTCTTACAACTCTTTTTGTGACTTTTGATTCGTTAGCGGTTAAAATGTTTAGTGCTACTTGTATTTTGAAAAGGAAGTAAAATTTTGAACCATCTTGATTGATTTGCATGCCATGTGTGGTGAGTTGTTGAACAATGCCTTGTGTTCGCTTTTGTCACCTAGAACTTGCCCAATTGGTCTTGAAATGTTGGTCTTGATTGAGTTTGGTTGGAGAAATGATCTTAGGCTTTCTTTGATGTTCTTGAAGTCCACTTGGCCTAAAAATCCAACCTTTGTATTAAATATATCCTTAGTTATCCCCTTTGAGCCTAATCCTTTTTATTGGCAACCACATTACAAGCCTTATCCTTTTTTGAAAAAATAACCCTCTTTTGAACCCTTCTCTCCTTGAACTTGAGGTTATGAAAGTTGAGGCTAAAAGCCTAAGTTGGGGGTTTTATGGGAAATTCATTAAAGGGATGCTTTACCACATGAGGATTTGATATAAAAAAAAGGGAAAAAAAAGAAGAGAGAAATTGAGGGATGTATGGAAGTCTTAATGAAAGAAAAGCCTTTAAAAGAAAGAAAGAAAATGAATAAATGAGACTTGAATCCCTCAAAAGTTGAAAATGGTTGTATGTGGGGCATCTAGAGTGGAAATAACAAAAGAACAATGAAAAATAGTGTGGGATGTGGCATGAGTTTGAAAAGTGGAGAAAGTTGGAAATAATGAGTTGTTGCATGAGAAGTCTTAAAGAAAGAAAAACCTTTGAAAAAGAAAGAAAGAAGAAGTGCATGGGTTTGAGAAGTGGAGAAAGTTGGAAATGATGAGAAAACAAAATGAAAATATTGTGGAATGTGCATGGGTTTGAGAAGTGGAGAAAGTTGGAAATGATGAGTTGTCATATAATGTTCAAGGAGGGTGTAGTCACTTATACCTAAATGATATCCTAACCTTCACTAAGCCTATATTACAAGATTAACAAAGTCCTTTTGAGATTTCTAACCAAATGGAGTTGAGTCAATGTTGATTGAAAATATGGGCAAGCCTATGGTGTGGCATTTGTGTGCATGAGATGATTCTTTGTGAGTGTGAGTGTTGCATCTTTGTCCCTTGTCTTATTTACATGTGTGTGTGGTTTTGGGACACTTCTTTCTTGTGAGGGCATGTAAGTTGAAAAAGTGGTGATTTTGAAAATTCCTAATTGAGTCAAGTGAGCATGTGAAAGAGTTAATGAGTTGAGTCATTTCTTGAGTTTGAGTTGTTGTCACTTAAATGATTCTTGGTTTTTAAAATGATTCATGAGAGGATTTGTCTTACGAAAAGTTTGCATGTGGACTATTTGTTAGTACCAACCAAAGCCCATTACCTTTGTGCTTAATTGAGAAAGACAAAATTGATTTATGGTGTGTCTTGAAATAAGAGCCTCTTGTGTTTTTTATTTTCTTTTCTTGAGAACCAACAAAGTTTCTAAGTTGGTGTGTGTGTTTGTTGATGAGTGGTGGGTTTTCACTCATTTTAGGCTCTTTTCGTAGTTATTTTGGCTTGCTTTAGTTTAGAATTGGTGCTTTTAATGTTTTTTTTTTCATATTTACATGAAAATGATGGAGAGTTGATTTAGGAGATATTTGAAGAAACCAAGTGAACTTGAGGCAAAAAGAGGCCAAGAGCTGAAAATTCAATTTTTGGCAGGAAAATTACCCTTCGTCAATGCGCTTGTTGGGTACTTTTTATTGACGATGACCTCTTACTCTTTTAGCTTATTTTGAGGGCAATTTGAGCATTATTTATTAGTTAATCTCCTTCTTATTTTTACTGTTGTGGTGAATGCACTATCTGAAATAGTTTGATCAAATTACACTATTGCTCTTAGAGATTTGGCAGTTCATTTTCCTAATCTCTTAAAGTCATGGACAAAGCTTATGTGTACACGAGTAAGAGTTTCATCAGTTTCTCATTTCTGTGCGGAAGAATGTTGTATTGGCTCTTTCTCAGATTATACTGAACGACATGATGATGGTTTCGCTAGATTATAAAACATTTATACATATCTAAAGATAGCATTCTCAAACAGAGTTTGTTTTCTCTCTCTCTCTCTCTCTCTGTTATTCTATAAGTTGAGTCTAGACGAAACTTCTAAGCTTAATGGTTTGTTGCCTTTTCTTTTCTTGGATTAATTTTCATTTTGTCTTTTAAATTTGTGCAGTCTCTCGCTGAGTTCTTTGCAGATAACAAAAACATTGTTGGTTTTGACAATTTAGAGTTTCTTATATGTTTAGAATGCCTTATAATTTTAACTTTTTTTGGTAATGTTATAATCACACATTAGTTTGATGATTAAGGATGTCTTATCATTTTAACTTTTTTATAATGTTATAATCACACATTAGTTTGATGATTAAGGATGTCAATGGGTTTTAATAGTGAAGAAAAGTGGTGAAAGTTGGAAATGATGAGTTGTTCTGTAGTGTTCAGGGAGGGTGTAGTCTTATACCTAGAACATAACTTGGAGTTGGGTACTTTTATTAACGACAAACGACTGCTTACTCTGTTAACTTGTTTTGAGGGTGATTTGAGCGACATCAATTATTTACGATCTTTCTAAAAAGTTCTAAACATGTGTGTTTATAGTCCTAGTGATGCAAATCTCACCTTGTTTTCCCTGTTGTGGAGAATGGACCATCTGAAACAGTTTATTCAAATTACACTGCTGGTCTTGAAGAGCTGGCAGTTCGTGTTCCTAATCTGTTAGAGCCATGGACAGAGCATATGTATGCATAGTATAATTAATAGATCGTTCATTCTCATCTAATACTGAATGAGATGAAGGTTCGGCTGGACTATCAAACATTTATTCTTAGCTTTCATGTGTCAGAATTCTTATCATCTTGATTTGCGTGTATCATTATTAGGTGAAAGTTTATATTAAAGGAAATGGCAAACCGTTTGGAAGATGAATAGGAAAGAATTTCAAATCTTGCCAAACTTTCTTTCATGGGTTGTCAAAGAAAAGGTAGTATATTTACCCAACTTTTCTTTTATTAGTTCCCTAATAAAGAAGTTTATCTATCTAATCTCTTTCTAGTCTTTCTACTATTGAGCTTTTTTCATCTGTTATTGCGTGTTTTGGTGTGCACGTCACATACTACTGTCATTTTCCTTTACACTTGATATTTAGTGGGAACTTTTGTATTTATTAAGTTCCAATTTCTTTCATTTTTTCTTGACCTTCAATCAGGAGGAACAATGGTATTTAGATTGGTTCCTCTTGTTTAGTTAGTTATTAAGGTATATTTTCCTAAGATTGTCGTAGATCCAAGTGGTAACTTTTTATTATTGTAACTCTGTATTACTACACATGATCCTTTTTCTAAGAAATTGTTCTTCTGCAGTTTTATCTTGACCAAAGTATGCATTGAAACAGACACGTGGGAAACTTGGTATTTGTGCAAAGATAGTAAATTGAGCAATTGGTCTTGACCTGATCATCTGACGTTCTTCTGATTCTACTTTTTTGAGTCTTTATTTATTTGTATTATATTCTGTGTCTTGTTTCTGTTCTCTCCGTTATAGGAGGTGATTGCGAGGGAGGTGGATTATTTCTTTGGAATAACATAGTATTTTTGTACTGTTAGAATGCTTCTTCCAGTGATGTTTTCCTGTAGTTCTTCTTTCCATTTTACTTGTTCTCATCCAGTCCTCAATGGATTTAAATTTATCCTTTTATCTCATTTTAACGTTTTTCTAATGTTATAATCACACAATACTTTGATGATTTTGGATGTCTTATAATTTTAAACTTTTTCTAATGTTATAATCACACATTAGTTTGATGATTAAAGATGTCAATGAAGTAATATTTCTTTGTTGGCATTTGAGTGATATATTATCTGTAACTAAAGTTGTATTATCTAAGGTGCAGTGTGAGCTGCAATGTGAGTTATGTACTGCACCTAAAGATGCATGACATTTATTCATATGGAAACTCTACCAAGTCTGCAGAAACACCGAGGATTAGTGGAAAAGAAAATATTTTTGTACTGTTAGAATGCTTCATCCAGTGATTTTTGCCTGTAGTTCTTCTTTCTATTTTACTTGTTCTAATCCAAACCTCAATGGATGTCAGCATGTACCATAATTGTTTTTGTTTTCCAAGGTATAAGCCTTCATTTCAGGAATGTTCCTCACATTCATATACATGAAAAACAGGAAAACGAAGACCCGGTGGCATGGTGCTGAAATCCAAATTGTCATTGAAAAGAACTGGACAACGTACAAAGTATGTAGTTCTTGAATAATTGTGACTGAAGTTCTCCTAAGTTTCACCTCATTCATGCGTTGAAAGAAAACTTAGTCAAATTGTTCACCTTCTATATTCTGTTTTCTTTCTGTGTTTACACTCCAAAGTCAATGCATTATATCTGACTAATGGTTGTCATCATGACCTATGCCGAATTCCTTTTCCAATTTATATCAGATTCTCTGAGTACTTTCTCTATCTCCCCTCTGCCCCTTCACCCCTGTCCCTTCTCTTCTCCCCTTTGTTTTAATTAATTTGTTTGCGCAAGCATGTCCACAATTTTGAGTTCGTAAAATATGTGCTGCATCTTTTGTTTTCACTTTAGTTTTGAATTGATTTTAGGAAAAATGTACTTATAAGGTTCACAAGAAGAACATACATTATGCCTTCAATTCCTCCTGAGACCAAGTACCATACATCTGGTGTGGACATATTTCTCATGAAATGGCTTATAACGGAAACATCAAACCAGTCTCTTTTGCAGTTTTCCTTAAGCAGGAATTTGTAAAAATTGGGCAGTCTAGAGGCACTATTTAAGCATGTTCCTAAGGCTACCATGTACTTCAACATTATAGTAAGTATTGCTTAGTTTCATCTTATGCTCAACTTCCTAATGACATTTACCTTCTCAATCTTTTCCTTGTTGATTATAGTAAGCGTGCTTTGGTAGTCCCGCGTATTCTCGTTTGATATTTGGATTGTGAGGACAGTCTCATTTTTAGTTGGGAGTGCCTCCCTTTTACTCATTATTTTTATTGTTTCTGCATACTGCGATTGTGCTTTGTTGGGCATAGTTTTCTTCCTTGTTGTGGATTGGTGTGCCCTTGTCAGGCTTTGATATTGTAGATGTTTCGATAGATATTATGTTGGATTAATCTATTTTAGTTTTTGATTTGTAGTTTGTAGATCTTTTTTTTTTTTTCATTTTGATATTATTTTTTTATTTGGATTAACAATGCCCGATATGAATAGAGAGTGGTGTCCTTCTTAAGGTGAAATCATCGATTGCTTGTGAAACAAATGACGTTGATTGTTGCAAAGTTTGAGTGGTTGTTCCCAAATAGATACATGAGGTTGCCTGATGATGGATTGGTTGAGGGCTTTCTTAAGGCCAAAATCATCTTCATTTTGGGAATGTTTCGACTTGGTTGGTACTAAGAGCATAGTCATGCATGTGTATCCTGAGCATAAGATTTTGAGTGATTTGTGACAACTATTACAACTCCTTTTGTGACTTTTGACTCGTTAGCGGTTAAAATGTTCAATGCTACTTGTATTTTCAAAAGGAAGTCAGATTTTGAACCATTTTGATTGATTTGCTGGCCATGTGTGATGAGTTATTGAATAATGCCTTGTGTTCGTTTTTGTCACCTAGAACTTGCCCGGCTGGTCTTGTCCCCCAACTTTTCTTTCATCTGTTGCTAATGAAGAAGTTCATCTATCTAATCTCTTTCTAATCCTTCTACTATTGAGCTTCTTTCATCTGTTATTGCGTTTTTCTGTGTGCACGTCACACAATAGTGTTGTTTTCCTTTACACTTTAATGTTTAGTGGGAACTTTTGCTTGTTCCCGCTTTTTGTTAAGTTCCAGCTTCTTTTATTTTTTCTTGACCCCTTCAATTAGGAATATTCCTCACGTTCATATTACTGTATTACACCTTCTTTTCAGGAATGTTCCTCACATTCATATACATGTAAAACAGGAAAACAAAGACCTGTGGCATGGTGCTGAAATCCAGATTTTCTTGACTTTCAATTAGGATGAATAAAGGTATTTAAGACTGGCTCATCTTGTTTAGTTATTAGTGTATATATTCCTAAGATTGTCTTAGATTCAATTGGAACTTTTGATTATTGCAACTCTGTACACATGATCCTTTTTCTAAGGAAGTGTTCCTCTGCCGTTTTGTCTTGAACAAAGTATGAAACAGACATGTGGGAAATTTGGTCTGTGTGCATAGATGGTACATTGAGCACATGGTCTTGATTTGATCATCTGACGTTCTTCTGATTCTACTTTTTGAGTCTTAGTTATTTGTGTTATATACCTTACCTTGTTTTTGTTCTCTGTTATTGGAGGTGGGCGAGGGTGGTGGAATATGTCTTTGGAATAAGAGAATATTTTTGTACTGCTAGACTGATTCTTCCAGATTTTTGCCTGTAATTCTTCTTTCCATTTTTACTTGTTCTCATCCAGACCTGAATGGATGTCGGCATTACGATAATTGAAGAATTTATCCTTATCTGTCATTTCTACAGGCATTGATTTGGTCCAAGATGAGTACAAGATTTCCCATTGAGATTACATCTTCCATGAACATTGAAAATTATATTTATACCTCATTCTGTAGGCTGGATATAGATATTTACAAGTATGATATGACTTAGAAATAAGAAGCTATATTTAAGAATGCATGGTAACATGGTAACACATGATTATATTGTTTTTGTTTTCCAAGTTATAATACTATATTACGACTGCCTTTCAGGAATGTTCCTCACATTCATATACATGAAAAAGGAGAAAACAAAGACAGATGACATGGTGCTGAAATCCAAATTGTCATTTAAAGGGACTGAACAACGTGCCGGGTATGCAGTTCTTGAAATCCATATTGTCAAATAATTCGCCCTCTATATTTCGGAAAACTGATCTTTTCTTTCTGTGTTTACAGCCCAAATTCAATGCATCATATGCAACATATGACTGTCATCACGCCCTATGCCCAATTTTCTCTGTCCCCCCTTCACCCCTCCCCCTTATCATCTCCCCTTTCTTTTAAATTTTAATTAATTTGTTTGTGCAAGCTACAAGCATGCCCAAAATTATGAGTTCGTAAAATATGTGCTGCATTCTTCGGTTTCACTCTAGTTTTGAATTGATTGTAAGAATAATGTGCTTATAAGGTTCACCAGAAGAACATACGTAATATACCTTCAGTTCCTCTTGAAACCAAGTACCATCCATCTGTTGTGGACATACTTTTTATCAAACGGCTTATAACGGAAACATCAAAACAGACTCTTTTGTAGTTTTCCTTCAGCATGAATTTGTAAACAATGGGAAGTCTAATGCAGAATGTTAATCGGTGAGAACTTGAAACTGATGGCATTCATCTGTGTGAGATTCCTTGATAAAATAAAATTAGTTGGCTGTATGGTTTATTGACCATTTAAAATAATTTATCTATTGCTTGCATTCTATTCAACAACTACTAGACGACAGTTTCTTATAGTGGTTACTTACTACTCAGTGTTCACCAACTCAATGCAGTTGGAAAAGATATAACATTGTCATAGTGATAGTAGACTAGGTGGAGGTTTTTTTTTTGGAACTGGTTACTGTAAAGTAGGTCGATGTTTTTAAGGTCACACATTGTTTCCATTAGCCAACAGAAGAGAATCGACCACATTGAAGGGCATGTTGAAGGCATTAAAATGAAATAGGCTCTTCCTTTTTTAATAGCTCAAGATTTCATGAGGTGGAACTTACTTCAACAATGATACACTAAACGCGGTGTTAATCAAGTTAGTCTTCAGATTTTTAGCCTGGGAAACAACCTTATTACACTAATGTGAGAGAACTTGTTTAGGATGCACTTGATTCTGCTGAATCTATCTCTGAACTTCGAGTTGTAGAGATAACCATGTAAGTGATTTTTTTTTCTGTTTTAGATTCAATTAGCTTAACGTAGATCCTATAATGGGAACTTCTCTTCATAGCTAGCTTAGTGTTGTTTTTTGTTTTGCCTGTGCAGCGAAGAGATTGGTAGAAGTAAATTTAATCCCATGATTGTTTTGCCTGTGCAGTGAAGAGATGAAGGCGTATATGATGATTTTGAGACATCCAAGGCTCGTGAGGTAAGTAAATAGTGATTTTCTCTCACCTAGATGGCATTGTGATTGATATTTTATGCTCACTGTTGACATTTAGCAAATTTCATTAGTGAAATACTTTTCTAGCAAATTTTATTAGATGGCATTGTGATTTTTCTAACTACTGAGTCTAGAAAAGACTTCCCAAGGAAGCTTGGGTTCTAGAGATCCAAGCAAAGAATGTTGCTCTTAGGAAGAAAGTAAAAGACGACCCTGCAGCTACAAAGGCAGCTAAGGGTAGGGAAGCATTATATTATAGGGTGACATGCAAGGTCTGATTTGTTTCTCTGTGTTCTTCTATATGCTGATTCTGCTCTAAGTATGCAACGCAAGAAAAGTACATTGTTGAATTAAATAAATTTGACAAGTTAGTGGAATATTATTCTTCCTTAAAAGTCTTTAATTATTGTACTCTGTTACTAATATAGGATAATGGAAGAGGAATGCCACATGATGATATCCCGAATATGTTTGTTCGAGGTATGATGTGCTCGCCATTTCCAGTTATTTTACTAGTGGAAAAACTTTTGCATGTTGCTGCTTTTTGTAATGTTCCAACTTCTTTTTCTTGACTTGCAATTAGGAGAAACAAAGGTGTTTTTCTAGCTCAAACATTTGTTTCAACTTTCATCTCTATTATTTGTTTACTTATTATATTGTTTTGTTATATTTATCTTGTGTATTTTATAGTTTAAAAAATCCATTTAATTCTGAATCTTAAGTAGACAATGAGACCTTAAATAGATGGTTTGCTAATTTTGTGGATGAGCTGGAGGAAGAAGTCAAAATAGAAAACCAAGACTTAGATGACACCCCAATTCGTCTGGCCACAAAATTACCACGATAAAATGATCTCCCTCTATAACCCCTGTTTGGCTTTACTAAAAACTCTTTTGACCTCTAGAGGAATTGAATTGAATTTAGTTAACCCTACAAGAAGCTCTTAACTCTTTCGAAGACCTCGAGGGAATTGAATTTAGTTAACCCAAGTTTGTACCAAGCTACTCATACAAGAGTTCCAAAATATCAATATTCAAAATAGTCTACCTAAAAGAGAACCCAAACTAGTTATTTAAAGTTTCAGGATTTTATTACATAAGAGTCTCAAATCAATATTCAAAGTAGTCTGTCTACCTAAAGGAGAACCCAAACTAGCTATTTAAATTTTTAGGCATTTATTACATAAGAGGCCCAAAAGTGACCCAAAAAGGATGAAGGGCGAGCTGGGTCATGCTCGCCTAAGGGACTCGGTGAGTCACCAATTGATTCAGCGAGATGACCCCTCCCTTGAAGCCTTTTGGAACATTTAACGAGCTGGGGTCCTCGCCCAAGCCGTTGGGTGAGTCGCCAAATGGCTACTGCTCGACTAAAGTGGCAGCTTTGTCAACTATCTTCCCTTCACTTCCCCAAGCGATCGTCAAGGCATGGAACAAAATATTAGCGTGTCATATACATATTGGGGATATGAAATGGCTGCTAGACTGTGTCTATCCTCCATGTTTGCATTGAATCCCCTTATCCGGTTGTGTGTCTGGGTTGTTCTTAGCATATCATTAAGACCCCCCATTGACAAGATAAAGAGAAAAGGAGATAATGGATCCCCTTGTCTCAAGCCTCTCTCAGATGAGAAGAAACCGTAATCTGTGGGAGAGCCTTAAATCAAAACTGAAAATTTCACTATAGTGGTGCAAAATTTGATCCAGTTGATCCATCTTTCCCCAAAACCCATGTTTTCCAAAGTCTTCCATAGGGAACCCCAATATAAGTGGTCATAGGCTTTCTCTATATCCAGCTTACAAAGAATGCCTGGATCTTGCTAATTTGCCTCATATCTACACATTCGTTGGCAATCACAATAGCATCCATGATCTGCCTGCCCTTGCCCGTTAGATAAATTCCATATGATGTGTATCTACCAGTTTTGAAAAAACTTTTTTTAGCTTCTTAGTCAACTCTTTTGAGATGATCTTATATATGCTACTTATTAAGCTAATAGGTCTAAAAGTCTTTGAGTTCTTTGGCCCCCAATTTTTTGGGATCAAGGCTATGAAGGTGGCATTGAAGCTTCTTTCAAAAGTGCTTTGATTATGAAAGTTCTGAACTCCTGCACAACTTCTTTGCTGACTATTTCCCAGCGATTGGTGAAGAATGCCATGGTGAATGCCAGAAACTCATTCTGGGTTCTGTCTGCTTCTTCAGAGATTACCAAAGAATTTCCTTGTGTGGGTTTTAGCCGCATTCATTTCTTTTGTGGTCCATTTGTTGTTTTTGCATGCATATAGTAACCCCTCTTATGTATTTCAATGTATTAATGTCTCTGTCCTTTTGTTCTTAGCATTAATGAAATTTGTTATTTTGAAAGCAATTTCTAGCCAGCCTGAGTTGAATGACCATTCAGGAAATGCTAATGTAGCGCCCAGATTTGTTAAAATTTCTGGAGTAAAAGAATTTTGAGGCATGATCATGAAATTTCCATCTTTTGATCGACTTTCCTTTGGTTTTTGATACTTCTCTTAGGATAAAACTTACCCACTCCATTGTATTTTGGCTGAAACTCGCTCTTGATTTCGATGAACGAATACCACCGGAAAAGGACTCTAAAGATCCAGAAGGGACCTTAGAGGTGGACCTCTAGAAAAGTGCCTAGGAGCACAAATTAATCCCAAAGTATGTAGCGTTTCCTAGTTTAAAAGTTTTCCTAGTTTAAAGTTTACATGTAAGTGCCTAGAGGTTGACAAGAGACATTCAGCTCATCAAGCATATCATCTAATCAAGGGATAACATGACGATACTTTACTGTGATCTTTTTGATGTCCCGACCATCAACAGACATGCACCATGTTCCATCTTTCTTTAGAACCAAGAGAACCGGAAAGACAGCACAGTGAACTTTCTCTCACATTGCCCTTGTTGAGGAGTTCCTAAACTTGCCTTTGTAACTCTTTGGTGTCTTGCGGATTACTTTGATAAGTCGGCTTGTTTAGCTAATTGTGAGCAAAACTTGAAATCAGTTTAGTGCTCAATTCCCTGAAGAGGGGGTAATCCACTTGAAGCTCCTTTAAGAAGACATCCTCATGATCCTGCTAAAGAAGGGAAAGAGAATGGGGTCCAGAAGAATGAGAATGGTTGGTTTGCAAACATTATCCCTATGTGTGATAAAGATCAAAGGACTTTTGGCTTCCACTTCCTCCCTTTATCTCTCTGTTCTTAGCCAACAACTCTTGGGCCTTTCTTCTCAACTTCCTCCTTTCTTCCTTTTCATTGCCCTCGACTTCCACATGTTCTTCCTCAACTCACTCATCTTTTGATACAATTCATTTAGTTGAGAGGGTGACATAGGATGAAGGACATATTTATGATCATCCAACACAAGTGAATATTTGTTGGTTCTCCCTCATGTTTGGTTGAAAAATCATATTGCGGAGGACTTTCGAGTAGCACATAACAAGCTTGCACTACATCACTTAAGTATCTTATTTTGGTACTTCCCAATTTTGAACTTGATCAACACTTCTCAATGCTAGCAACGTTGGCACAACTCCTACAATCAATGATCAATGAACATAATCATCTTTTATGAGGCACTTGCAGTGGAAACGATTCTCCCTTTGACTTGGATCATCCATGGCGCCTCACCATGGTACACTAAACTCTCCTTCTTGAGGCCAAGCTTCTTGAATTGTGGCCTTCCTAATCAAACCATTAGGAGCGGTGACATCTTTTCCCTTACGTGGGTCTGGTTCCTCATTTCATCACCTTCAATTTCATCCTCTTCTTGGGTTTCCTCTTCAAAACCCTCCAAGAGCTACCGTTCCACCAATATACAATTCCCCTCCATGAACTAGCACATTCAACCGATTGGGACATTCACGCATCATATGACCCCATCCTCTACACTTGTGACATTGAATGCCTCTAGGAAATTTGGTTGGGTCCTTGTTACCTTCCTCTCTTGGTGGATCCATTAATGTGTTAACCTCTACCCTATGGTTTCTTCTCATAAGGCTTTTAGAGATCCTTATTCTTGTTCCAACCCGATGTTCGAGCTTTTCCCTTGTTCTTACTTAAAAGAATTTGATGATGAAATACCCTTGTACTTAGGTACTTTCTCCTCTCTGAATCCCCACTCTACCTCATTGGTCTCTTCGAAGATGTCATTCAATTTAGCAAACTCATGAATAGTCATCTTAGAAAAGACCTACCTGGAAGCGAACAACGACATGCTCTTCATTCTCGGTGTATTCTAGCTTCAAGATCAAATTTTGGAGCTCATCATAGTAAGCTATCAATCAACACATGCACGAAGTTCCATCTTTTTTTGGAACCAAGAGAACCGGAACGACGCACGGACTTATACTTTTCACATAACCCTTGTCGAGGAGTTCCTTAACTTGCCTTTGTAACTCTTTGGTGTCCTCCAGATTACTTCTATAACCCACAGTTTATTTGGAAATTGTGAGCCCATCATGAAATCAATTTGGTGCTAATCTCCCCAAAGAGGGGGTAATCCACTCGGAAGCTCCTTTGGGAAGACATCCTCATACCCCTACAAAAGAAGGGAATTAGAATGGGGTAGAGAAGAATGAGAATGGTTAGTTTGCAACACATGATCCCTATGTGATAAAGATCAAATACCTTTTGGCTTCCACTTCCTCCCTTTATCTCTTTGTACTTAACCAACAACTCTTGGGCCTTTCCCCTTAGCTTCCTCCTTTCTTCCTCTTCATTGCCCTCAGCTTGCACATC